TTCTACAGGGATTTAAAAATAGTTACGCAAAACGGAGCATGCTGCTCTGACCGGCTTTAAAGGGTTAACAATGACTTTAAAAAAATAATATAAAATAGTGTGCAACACCACTGAAGTTTTTTTTTTTTTTAAACTCTCTTTTCAACCAACAGCAGTCACTCTCCAAATAACTTCTGCTTAGCTTTCCGAGCTTCCCTCGGGTCCTCTTAATCAGCGGTCTCCAACCTTTTTTGCGCCACGGACCGGTTTATGCCCGACAATATTTTCACGGACCGGCCTTTAAGGTGTCGCGGATAAATTAGGGAGGGGCTAATAATCGGCTCAGTCATTTTTAATGATCGTTGAAAGCCCAGATCGTAATCGTGATTAAAATTCGATTAATTGAGCAGCCCTAGTGTGTGTGTGTGTATATATATATATATATATATATATATATATATATATATATATATATATATATATATATATATATATATATATATATATATATATATATATATACGACACCTCCGTCTCCTCGTTGTCTGAGCTCGCCACATTGGTGTCAGAAGTGGGATGATGGTGGCACCCCATGTTCTGACCCGAGTGACTTTTCCCCCGCCGGTCGTGACCGGCCGGTGCAAAAGAAGGCACCTGGACGTTTGCAAAGTGAAAGCAAAAAACAAGCGCAAATTCAAACGCGATTTCAATATGTCACATATTGACAGTGGCTCACCGATGCCAATGACATAATTACCCAGCTACATTTCCGAAAGAATGCAAAAGCATTGACATATATTTTTCTTCCTACAATAGCCCGACGGGCAGGGCAGAGATAGATTTTGGTAGCCCGGCTGGAAAAATCGCTAACCCGTCGGGCTAGCGATTTTGCAAGCCCTGTGTTACAGGCATGGCCCTTTAAGGATGAAGCCTGATGGGAAATGTATTCGGGATGTGTGTAGCGGGATTGCCTGGTGTGTGTGTGAAGAGAGAGAGCGGAGAAGGGGAAAAAGTAACGGTTAGCTACAGAAGAGACGAAAAGAAAATAAATAAAAGGAATATAATAACTCCCTCGACAGCCAGAGTTGTGTCGGCGATGCTCGCTGTGAGTAAACTGTTTCAGCCCACTGTACACGGTGTTCGTGCCTTAGAAAAGAAATAAAGTTCAGTGAAGCAGTTTCCTACGCCTCCTTCGATCTTTTTGCTAGCGGAGTTGACCTGTATAGTAAGCTGTTGCCGGTGTTGTGCCAAAAAGTGATTGTCTGCCAAAAACTGATTTCCGGTATTTGCCAAAAAGCGATTGCTCATATTTAAAGTGCTATAAGTAACTTGTTGGGCTATAATATGTATTATGTCAAATGCATCCCTTATGGATGACATAAAGTCATCTTGAGCCACAAACAACATTCGTGTAGCAAGATACAAGCCGCAATCAGTTTTTGGCAGCGACTTTTATATAACCTTTATTTATGCAGTAAAAAAAATCTCATTAACATTAAAAATGTATTTTGTAAGAGTAAGTTGGCCAAGAGCACAGCAGAAATGGCAGCAAATATTACAATAGTTCTGTAAAAATATTTTAAGTGGGGATAAAGGACCGGATTGGTTATAATGTAAGTACAAGTTGTAAAGATACTTAAAAAACAGATAATTTTTAATTCTTTATGTAACCCCTTTGTATCCCCTGTTCACCGAAGTCTATTTACGAACATACGTAAAGATATTACACATAAAAAATACACAGAAACACTGGAAATCACTTTGTTGGCAGACAATCACTTTTTGGCACAACACCGGCTACGAGTCAGTTACGGAACCTTCAAGTAACTGCCAGAGGTTTCCTTACTACGGTTCGGGGCCGCGGATCTGGCGCGGTAACACCTGTATCTGATTGAGGAATCACTCATCTTTGGAAAAGAGAGTTTATTACAGAGAAATGGCTCTTTCCAAAATAAAAGCTATACTATACGCCTCTTCTGGGCTATATTCTCAGCAGCATATTGTAGCGGGTCAGGGCTGTTCGGGGTTCTGTTTGTACAGTTATGTTTTGTTTATGTTGCCATAGTGACGGGTGACGCCCTCTCGCTGCGACGTTGTCCTTCCGGGGTCAGAGGGCGCCCTGTGTTGTTGTTGTTGCCGTGCGGTTGCCGCGCTGAGCAGTTAGCTAGCAGCAGTGTTCTTCTGCAGATGTCAATAAACGGCTGTGCTCCCTGGCTAGCTCACGGGAAGCAAGACCAAACGACACCTCCGTCTCCTCGCTGTCTGAGCTCGCCACATTGGTGTCAGAAGTGGGATGATGGTGGTACCCCATGTTCTGACCCGAGTGACTTTTCCCTCGCCGGTCGTGACCGGCCGGTGCGCCAAAAGAAGGCACCTGGACATTTGCAGGACTTTGTGTGGGGTAATGGGGTCGTCGGGGACGACTGACCCCTTAGGTGGGGGCTATGTAGCGGGTCAGGGCTGTTCGGGGTTCTGTTTGTACAGTTATGTTTTGTTTATGTTGCCATAGTGACGGGTGACGCCCTCTCGCTGCGACGGTGTGTCCTTCCGGGGTCAGAGGGCGCTCTGTGTGTTGTTGTTGCTGTGCGGTTGCCGCGCTGAGCAGTTAGCTAGCGGCAGTGTTCTTCTGCAGATGTCAATAAACGGCTGTGCTCCCTGGCTAGCTCACGGGAAGCAAGACCAAACGATACCTCCGTCTCCTCCTTGTCTGAGCTCGCCACAATATTAAACATATCAGGTCCCCATAAGGAGAATCATGTGCTAACGGCTGTCTAAATGACTCAGGTAAAGTTTGTAGCATGCATGCTTGTTGTTTTTGTCTGCTTCCACTTGTCTTTGCACTAGGATGATGTCGGCTTAAATGTGCAGTCATATTCGTTGTGTTCCCACTAGTGCTGTCAGCGTTAATCTCGTTGAAATGACGTTAACGCCACAACACGGTAAATCTCTGTTAACGAGCTACCCCTGCGTGGGGCTAGACGGCCAATTCAGCATTGCGTGGCACATCCAACATACTGTTTTACTTTAGTCCATGACTCGCTTACCTTCAGGGTCATATGTCACATGAAAACCAAAATAATTCCAAACGCCAGATCTGAATGAGGGTAGGGGAGGTTCAATTTGCCATGTTGCAAGGAGAGCTTAACTTCTGTCTCGCTAGCTTGCCCTGCACTCTTCCTTCTGACGATGCTGTCTGTGTTGAATGCTCAGTGGATCTGCGCTCGACAGTGCAGCCTAGGCGGAGTAGTCGAACGCAGATTCACTGAGCGCTCAACACAGACAGCATCGTCAGAAGGAAAGCTGATCAAACAAATTACAAATTTGTACAAATGCGTACGGAACCGAAAGCACTGTATCGAACGGTTCAATATCGATACGAGTATCGTTGCACCCCTAATATATATATATATATATATATAATATAGACCAAAAAGTTTTATTGCTAAAAATAAATGAAGGATGCCTTCAAGGTGGTGTTTATTCAGTATTTGTGCTGTAAACAGAAATCCTCTAGGGTTTGGTCATACAATGTATATCAAGTGTACAGTTTTTCAAGCTCTTCAGCAAGTATGCTGCCCTAGTCATTGCTAAGAAACTTGCTACAGTTTTTACTGTGTGTTTACACTGTCTTGAGACTGTTCTCTATCTCATATGCTTCAATGTGATGTGATGGTGCTGGATACATGTTTAGAGTTGTTACTATACTGTAGAATCTGGTGTCTGTTTGATGGACATCCTTTGACGGATAACAACTCAATCCACTAATGCCTAAAACCTTTGCAAACTATTGCATATATGCACACGTACTCAGTTGCTCGCGTTATCCGCTTGCTTTCATCACTTTCTCATTCAAGCGCTCTCTTTAAATTCCACCTAATAAGAAAATGTTGTCTTGGGGCCGTCTGGTCAGCTTGAACTAGGATGTCAGTGAGAACACAATGGGGCATAGCACTGACTTAACATCACGGTTAATAATTTACAGACCTGCTGCAAATGTTTCACAGCACATTTTTTTTCCCATGAGGAGATCACTTGTTTAAATTGTGGTGTGAATAACTGACTATATTCAAGCACAGCTCACAGAGTCCAATTACTAATCTCAGCAGATAAGCATTTCTGCTGTTATCTGGAGTTTTGAATTCAATTGAATGTGAGAACAGGGGCCACGCAAGTTGATGTTGGTCAGTGTAATAATAATGCATCTTTGTTCATATACAATGGCAAACTTTGAAACGCTCGGGATCCCTGCTTAACAAAGCATTTAGATGGAAATCAAGGTCAGATTGATGTTTATTTGTTTTGGCCTTAGGACCTGTATGAAAATAGCCCTCAATGAGGAAAAACTCCCACGAAAACCTCATCAACATTAAAGGCAGTTTGTTCTGTTTGTGTGTTGCTGTTTACCAGGGAGGCTTTTGATCACTGACACCCCCCATAGATAAAGTGAAGCATGAAGGCCAAATCCTGCCCCGCATTGATCTGAACAAACATCCCCCTCCCGTTGCCAGCATACACGCACACACGCACACGCACACACGCTGTCCTAATATTACCATAGTGTTAGTACTCTACAGCAAGATCAACAGTGTGTGACAACAGCTGTGTCACATTATGAATATTGCAACATCCATGGGTGCAGAGGTCATTATACGAATTAATTGGCAGTGGTGCTGTCATTAACGCTATCCAAACACGCCTATAGTTAATGCGAATGATCCGAAAATGTTTTATCTAATTGTTTATTCATGCTGTCCCTCCATTATTCGTTTTCAGCTTTTGCTAGTAGCATTAGGGTGATCCTGTGTGTAAGTTGCAGACAAGAGATTTTGCACTATTCTGTGAATGTTATTTCTTCAAAGTTGCCCTGCATTATTAATTTGAGTGTTAGTTTCAAGTTGCCTTGGGTACTTATCTTTGTGTTTTTACCCTCCAACCCTCTGTAATCTCCTATTACCCCCTCCACTTTGCCCATTCCCCCTTTGCTACCCTCCTCTCTCTCCCTCCCTTTTTTTCTCTCCCAGGCGAGTGATGCATGCTGCAAACGGTGCGTGCGTGTAGTGTGAGCGAGAGCCATCGGTGTATGCGTGTGCTTGTGTTGCGTGTGTGTTTGACTGTATGAGTGTGTGTGCTTGAATGTGTGTTGAGAGAGCGAGAGAGAGCAAGAGCGAACGAGAGAGAGAGAGAGAGAGAGAGACGGATAGACCGAGCCTCTAACACGGAGCATGCCTCTGCGTCCGGCAGCCGGCAAACATGAGCCACCGAGCCCTCCACGGCAGGACCAGCAGCAGCACACACACACACACTCACACACAATCACACACCCTCACACACACGCAGCAAACGGCAGCCAGGGGGCCAGCACTGACAGCAGCAGCTCCCGGGAAGAGGACAGTGGCGTTCCCGTTCCTCACGGTGTTCCGGCTTTCCGTCCCAGTGCAGAGCGTAGCAACAGTGCAAGAGCACCCATGGAGGAGCCAACAGGCAACACGGTGGTCATCCGCATTGGAATCCCAGACTTGCAGCAGACGGTAAGAGCTCATTCTGTAGCCAGAGTATAAAAGAGAGGTAATCTGCCTCTCCCCCTTCCTCTTTGAATAGGTGCTTTCTACCTCTCTACTGCTGGCTTTATGTATTATCTGTCCTTTTAAACATCGTCAGCTTTTAATTTTTCGTCTTTTCCGTCAGCTTCTCTTTATCGTTATCACCCATGCTCTTCTTTTCCCTTGTTTTCGGTTTTGGTTTTTTTTGGTATGCACACTTAGTAGCTGTGTTTGCTTGCTGGCTTCTGGGGGTTCCACTCCTCCCCTCCCCACCTTTTCCACTGTTGCCTCGCTAATAAATCTACCTCTTCATTAACTGGGCTTCAGCTGACTTTGACAACTGGCCACTTAGGGTGAGAATGGGGGTCTGAGGGAAGGGGGAGGAACGGAAAAGGCATCAGGGGTAACGGAGGCTGTGAGGTGATTGCAAATGCCCAAGAAGGCACGAGGTAGAGAATCATGACAGTTATACCTAAACAGTAAAACTTTACCTCATCATGTCGTCTTCCCACTGTGTTTGCTCTGTGCCCAGAGAGTATAACAGGTCCAATCATACACTGTTCCTCCACTAATGAAGCTGCAGTTTCTCTGAATGTGTAGCCTGTACCTGTGTAGTATTGCAGCCACTGAAAATAAAAGCAGAACCATCAGACTGTTGAAACCATTTGATCGCCTTCACAAGTGTGTCCATATCTGTATGTGATTGCTGCAGAGGGTGGTGTGAAACAGGACAAATGGGCACATAGTAAATTAGTTCTGTCATTCAGTTTTCAAGCTATCTCATTCATGTAGATTCAACAACATTGAGTAATGCAGTGCAGTGGAACATCTGTCACTGAAGTGTCAAGGTGCCATTTCTTTGAGGTTAACGGGGATCTTCAATTTGATTGCCTGGAACTGCACTTAACTGCTGAGAAATAGCATTTTACTGTTTGATTGGCTGTAAAATAAAATGTTCAGCTCAACATATCTTGACCCCATGTTATATGTCTGCAGCTATTGCTGCGCTCTCTCTCTCTCTCTCTCTCTCTCTCTCTCTCTCTCTCTCTCTCTCTCCGTGTATATATATATATATATTCGCTACATACTTGTGCTCAGTTACTAAGCTTTTTGCAAGAAGTTAGGCTGAGTGTCCCGTTTCTATTCATTCTGCAGACATTGATGGCGAAGGCAAGAGGCTGGTGCTCTGTTTGTTGTTGTTGATTACCTCATTGTCGTTGGATACTTGGCTGAAATGACCCATTGTATCTTAGTGAGGCTCCAGCACCGAATGCCAGGAATAAAGGCAGGAAATAAAAGGAAGGCAGCTGAAAAGAAAGTAGAGAATTCCCCAAAGGTGCTATAGAATAGCCCTGTGTGGACAAAAATGTTTTCAAGCAAGCTCAAACTCAAAACTCTCAGCATGCAAATATGTATAATATAGAATAAGTATTTGCAGTTACATGAAAGAATACACACACACACACCTGGGCATGGTTTTACAAGCTTACACAGTTACACACTCAAACATGCACTCATGTTCATGATTCCTAATCCCATTGCCCGGGGAATTGCCTTAATGTGGTTATGTAACGTTAAGATGCTCCACGAATTATTAGTTTCAGTTTCAGTCACATTTAGTCCAGTATATGGATAAGAAAGCAAGAACACATATGGGATGACACAGTGATGGAGGGAAAGACAAACAGAGAGTTTGCCTGAAGTCTGACAGACAAACATAGAGGCAGCTGACAGATGGCCAGATTCTGACAGTTTGAATCTTTTATGGAGCAGTCAAAAGTGACTCGTGTGTACTCTGAGTAAGCAGGAGATTACACTAGAATAGTCTGCCTGAAGTAGGATTACACATCTCCTGCTGTGTTTCAAGCCTAGATCAGGAGAATGAAGCACCATGCAAAGATCCTGCTGGGCAACATTTTCCCTTTTCTGCGAGAAATTAGGGTGGAGCACAGCCCAATATGCAGTAAAGCCAGAGTATAAAATAGTTAATAGTTCCTTCACAATTCCTTTCTCAATCTCTGACCTATTATGTTGAGTTCCCAGTATTTTTTCAGCCTAATTAATCTGAAGTAGGGGTATTATTTCTGGTGCTATTCTTGCATGTGAACTGTGTTTTGAGAATTTCTTCTTCAGGTCTGGTTAGGTGATGGAGTAAAATAAAGAGTGGTGTTAAAATTATGGAAGACAATTATGGAAATTAAGGAAGAAAATTAATGGATTTTAGTCATTCAGCTTGCAATTTATTCTAAGCAAGTCCGTCATTACATAAAAGTACTGTTCAGTCTTTGGCAAACATTTAATCTCTAACTGTATTTTGGCAACAGGAGATAGTACAGTTGCATTAGCAGTCAGTACCACCTTTTGTTCGGTCGGGGTGTTTGGGAAATTATTTGTAAAGATTGTACTTTTTTCCCACCATAGGTATCATTTGGTATTCATCATACCCAGCTTCACAAAAATTCTATTTTTGTGATAGAAGCAAAAAAGATAGATTCCCAATACCGCTAATGGGTGTCATTCATCTCTCAAAAGAGAGGGAGACACACACGTAAATAGTCTGCCCCACTATTGCCTACCTGCTTTAATCCATCTTCTGCATTTATTTTTGTGTTACGTCTCTCAGTGCATCCCATTTCTTTATCCATTCACAGAATACATTTTTCTGTCAGATGCAGAAATCTGTCACGATTATGATGTTGAGAAAATAATTTTAAAAATAAACAAAAAACAAACAAAAAAACCCCTCAAGTCTTGTTATATAGACCTTTGGGTTTGAGGGTTACACGCAGTATGCTTTCTCTTTGAAAAAACATTTGTCTTGTGGAAGCTCGAGGTTTCAGCTCTCTTGTTTGTAACAATAGTTGCTGCATCTTATTGGGTCGAACTGAAATAGACATCTTGAAGGCCCTTTCATTGTCTCTGTGCATATTTTCCTGTTCACATGCTTGCATGTAGCAGCATATGGTGTCCCTCCTTACACTTTACATCCTTTTGTGCTGGACTTAGCACTTTGTGATGCCCTCTTTGTCTTTTCTGTTGTTTTTGAATTTTTTTCCACCTCTTCTGTCTGCCTGTGTAGTTGGCTTATAAGGTACCCTGTTTTTCCTGTCTGCTACTGTCTTGAACTGCTGTCTGAGTAAGTTATTTTCTGGAAACATTTGGCACATGTACATATGTAGGCTTAATATTTCATGAAAGACATTGTCCTTGACATTTTTCATTCTACAGTACTCTTCAAAAGTCTTGAGTCACCGCTAATTTCGTTATATTTTGCTAGGAAAATACAAAATAGGTGCAGCAATTTATTGAAGTTGAGGCAGTCTTAAGAAGTCTTCAGGAATAGTTCTCCAGGCTTCTTGAAGAGCATCTTCTTTGGATGTTTGCTGCCTTTTGTTCTGTTCTCTGTTAAGATGATCCCACACTGCTTCAATAATGTCGAGGTCCACATGCTGGGGAGTGTTCCATTGTGCGGTTTTCTCTCCATGGTATAGTTTTGCTGCATTGGCAGTGTGTTTGGAATCAATGCAAAAAAATTATGCTGTTGCCAATCAGGCAGATTCCAGACTTTACTGTGTGGTGTTTAAACATATGATTGCACTTTTCAGTGTTCCACCCAAAACCGATGGAACCCATTGAACCCAAAATTTCAAACTTGGTTTCATCACTCCATTGATTTTCACTCCAGTTCTTGTATAATTTGGCATTGTTCAGTCATTTCTCCCTGTTTCCCTTTCTTTAAAATGGCTTTTGCAAAGCGACCCTTCCACTGAAACCCTGAAGACATAACTTTTACATACTAGTAAAGTTTTCGTTTTGCTTTTTAGGCCTGCCCCACTTCTCCTTGTTCAATTTCCTGTGCACGACAAACCGTTCCAAGATAGACCATGTTTTCAGCTGACTGAGGATGGCTTAGTTGGTGCAAAAATCCAGCTTTATACCTGTTAAACTCTGTTATTTTTAGCCTTTTTACTTTAAGCTAACTAAAGAAATTCAAAGGCTGCTGACAGGATGCTAGAAATAAAGTCACTAAAGATACTTGTCTGTTATGTGTAAATCCAATGCTGGTTCATCCCTGCTGTCTTTTTTGTGCTGTTGAAATTTTTAAAAAGTCTGTGCTAGTGACTAATTGTTCAAACGCCATCTCAATTATTCAAATTTAGAATTTTTATTAGTCAAAGTAAAAAATGACAGTTTTTGTAGGACTGTTAAATTTAATTTTGATCTCGTGATGTGGAAAATAGACTATAAGTTTAAAAATGTCTCTTCTCCATTAACCCCAAGGCTTGTCATTTTGACCTCACAGTTGTAAATCTGTTGCTGAATAAATAATAGGATTTTTGTTTTCAAGTGGAAATTTCAGAAATTGAAAAAAAGCTAAAAAAAAAAGTTCAAGTTGTTTTTATATCATCAGCGTCAAATTCTTTTCTTGGCCAATTTACCGAGTATATATCCAGTGACAGTTATGCCTTATGTCATTTTTGTACTCTGTGGAACATGTGGCCTTCATGTTTTGAGTACCTGCTGTGTAGCCTCCTGGAAGATTAATCTCTTTTGTCCCTTTTGTGTGTTCTTGTTTAACTACCATCTGCCTGCATCGTCAGTCCAGATGATATTTTGACGTATTTCCAAATATGCAACTGTTGTTTTCCTTAGCCAGTAAGAGTGGGGACCTGTCGTTTAGTAACTTGTTAATCAGTACTGCTACCTGATTTACACTGTAGATTGGTTGAATGCAGGCTGCAAAATTTAGTAGCTGAAAAACAAATATGATTTCAGTTCTGTTATCCTGGTGTTACCCAAATTAACAGTTCTGCTGGTGCCTTTCTGAGTAGAGAAGGGATTTCCCTGTGTATCTAGTAAATTGGTGCGGGTGTAGGTGTGAGTGGTAGTCTGTCTCTCTGATGACCTGCCCTGGCTGTAGCTCATCTCTCACTCAGTGTCAGCTGGGATAGGCTCCAGCTCCCTGCAACTCAGTTGGATAAGTTGTT